TTCATAGTGACTATGTGACTACTACTAGGTTTCAAAAAGGAAGCTCTAGGCTTATATGAAAATATAATAAGTTGAGTTTTGGAAGCGTTGGGAGAAATCTTCCATTTTTGTAAAAAAGAAGAGAAAATATCTAAACTTTTCTGCAATCTGCTCCAAATACCCCGTAGACTTCTTCCTTTAGTGGAAATGCCTGTGTCATCAGCGAACAAAGATTTTTGGCAACCCTGATGCAAAGCAGGAAGGTCCGAAGTGAAAATGTTACACAATATTGGCCCAAGAATGCTACCCTGAGGAGCTCCTGCTCTAACAGGTAGTCGATTAGATTTCGAATTTTGATAATTTACATGCAGAGTTCTGTCAGTTAAATAATTTTGAACTAATTTCATAATATAAAGTGAAAATTAAACTTTTTCAATTCAGCAATCAAACCTTCATGCCAAACACTGTCGAATGCTTTTTCTTTGTCTAGAAGAGCAACTCCAGTTGAGCAGCCTTCAGATATGGTTGACCGAATTTAATTGATAGCTCTTAAAAGTTGATGAGAGTTCGTATTGAGTTTGTATTGATGTGAAGCATCATTCTATTCAAAATTATCTTTTCAAAAAGTTTACTTATTGAAGAAAGCAAACTTATTGGACGGTAGCTAGAAGCTTCAGCTGGACTTTAATCCGGATTCAAAATTGTAAGAACTTTTGCATTTTTCCACTTAGCAGGGAAGTCTGCCAAATGGAAACATCTGGTAAATAATTTTACCAAGAAAGGCAAGGTACCCTCTGGGAGTTTTTTGATGAGGATATAGAAAATTCCATCGTCACCTGGAGGTTTCATATTATGAAACTTTTTAGTTATAGATCTTACCTTGTTCAAATCAGTCCCCCAGGAATCATCAAAAATATTTTCCAGAGAGAAAATATTCAGATAAGTAGAGACGAACCAGCCTAAGGCTGAAAGTCTCGTTAATAAAGGAAAAAAAATCAGATAATCCCGAGCAACCTGATTCTCAATAGGACTAGTAAGACCCAAACTGAAATTATGGGAACTCTCGAATTGCTTCACAAGTTTCTGAGCTTTTTTTCCAAATTTATGATCAAAATTTTACCACCTTCTTTAAGCGCTGGAATAGGCTTTTGAGGTTTTTTTTCAAAAAATTTGTGAGTTTCCAAAAGGGTTTGGAACTCTGGTCTAATTTATAAACATTATTTTCAAATGTTTTGTTCCTCAGGGCAGAGAATCGCATTTTAATTTGTTTTTGCAAATCCAGATAACTTTCATGGCAGGATCGTGTGCTCTTTGATATTGTCTCCTACGAACATTTTTAAGACGGATCAAGAGCTGAAGATCGTCGTCTATTATAATTGAATCGAATTTAACCTCACATTTTGGTACTGAGGCAGCTCTTTTTTCAACTATAATAGTAGTCAGAGATTCAAGAGCATAATTAACTTCATCTTTGGTTTGCAAAGGAATGTTTGGATCAAAGCTATATTCCATAAATGATCGATATTGCTCCCAATCAGCTCTATGGTAATTGAAAGTAGAGCTGTTGGGATTTGAAATTATTTCTTGGGATATTTCAAAAGTTACTGGAAGGTGATCAGAACCGAAGTCAGCATGGGTAACCAGTTGGCTACAAAGTTGACATGAATCAGTTAGGACCAAATCAATAGTTGAGGGATTTCTTGCTGAAGAAAAGCATGTTGGGCTGTTTGGATATTGAATAGTGTAATAACCTGCAGAACAATCATCAAACAGAATATTACCATTGGAATTTCTTTGAGCATTATTCCATGACCGGTGTTTTGCTTTAAAATCACCAATAATGAAGAATTTAGACCTATGACGGGTAAGTTTCTGAAGGTCACCCTTGAGAAAATTCTTTTGCTGGCCTACGCATTGGAATGGCCAAAAAGGCAGATATAAACGTAAGTTGTAGAAATTTTGTTTCAACAGAAACTCTCAAAGTTTCAAATACTTTGGTTTCAAATGAAGAAAGAATTGTATGTTTGATTCGATGTTTCATTTCGATAAATGAAATAATTTGCGTCCCTTTTAACCTTATGGTCAGGCTTAAGAAGCGTTTCAGTTATAACAGCAGAGGAATTTGTACCTGGTCGGGAATGTGTAGTGACAGATAGGCGCTTAGAACGAGATTGTAGGATCGCTTTGCGAGTCTTACATTCCCAAAAATTGGATTTGTGGTTTTCACCACAATTTGAACATTTAAATTTCTTATGATCTTCCTTTCTTCCTTTGCGTGAGAGGAATCCCCACAATACACGCATTTAGCTGGCATGTAGCATTTTTTTGTTCAGTGACCCCATCCCTGGCACTTTCGGCACTGGGTGAGGTTAGCTTTTTCCAAGACCTTAAGGTTGTTTATTTCACTAGACTTGAAGTGAAATCAAGTAAAAATCAAATAAAAATCATTAGAAATCCCGTTGCGCGAATCGCCAGGACGGGATTTAATTTTCATTTCGATTACTTTGAGTGGCACAACTCCAATTAATTTTGCCAGTTCATCTTTGCTCTGATCTAGGGACTCACCACTGGGCAGACTTTTCATGACAACCTTGAACACACATTCAGTTTTGGTGTCGTAAGTAAAAATTGGTGCTGCATATCTGTAAGATTTTTTTTTTCTTTATTAAAGAGACTTTCAGCCTTGGGCTGGTTCGTCTCTGCTCTGTAAGATACTTGAGAAGACGTTTGAATCCGTCCAAGGTTTAAGGCAATACACGACATTCACCCCGACGGCCAATTTAATTTGCAGTGAAAACTTGAATTTCACGAAATTCAAAAGTTCCATGCGAAGATCATTTTATTTTTCATTTTGAGTCGAACACAATCCGGTTTAGTGCAAGACGTGAAACACGTCTTTCAAAATTTTGAAATTTCTCGTAGATTTTAGATTAGTAGATTTTATTCAGTGCGAACACGAAAAAGTTTTGTTGATAAACTTTTTTCCTTTAAAAGTGCCCATCTTGGGATGTATAAACCTCGGTATAAACGAGTTGTAGATAAATGGTATGTATATCTGTAGAAAAAGCTTAAGATTTAAAAAAAATGCATTTTTTATAAATCTCAATTTTAAGTTTTAAATATTATTTTTTTAAGTGTAGAAAACAAATCATTTATTTTTTATATTTCCTTATGAAAGCTCATTTATTTCCGTACAAATCATCCTGTGGCAACATTTTTGTAGGACTTAACATTATTGAGTTATAATTTTTTGAAGAAAATTATGACAAAAAAGTTCTGTCCTTTCCAAATGTTGGTCTAGATTTTTTTTAATAAGTATGTAAAGTTACTTAAGTAGACAAAATCTATACACTTACAAAGTTTCATTGAAATCTAAGGGGGTGCTGCCAACCATTTGTCAAATTAGCGTGCAATTCGTCATTCGAAAGTGTTTGGCATGAAGGTTTGAATGCTAAATTTAAAAAGTTTAATTTTGGCGTTTTAATGCGTTAGGCCGAGGTTAGAATCCGTAGGCCGAGTTTGGCGTCAAGAAACAGTGTTAGACTTTTGACAATATCTCAACGATGGGTTTCTCTTTATCAAATCTTACGGTACATACGGAAAGGTAAATAAATTTGGAAGCCATCAGTAATAAAAACATTCCGTTTAGTGCTAAACTGCGCTAGATTAAAAAATACTAAGTGCGGGTTGTGCTTAATAGGCCGGAAATGGGGTAGTTAACCCTACTACCGAAGTACATAGAATGTAAAAAGAATTAATAATTTCAGGCAAAAATCGTTGCAATCCTCAATTGCAACGATTAATTCCATTATACTTAGATAAGATTTATTTTTAGTTTTTAGTTTTAAGATGTCAATTGTTATACTGACATGCAGGTATAGAAAACCTGTTTAAAACACTGAATTACCAAGGCAGGAACAATGGGAAAACACTTAGATATATATCATAACACAGGGGCCTCATAGCCTAGACAGCAAACCCAAGTAACAATTTTGGTTTTATGAAGGTTCTGTAGACCATGATTTAGACTTGTAGCATGCTTCAAAACCACTATAAAACTTGCAATATTACTTGGGAAGGCACGGTATTTCCAAGCCGGAGGCGGCAGGTTCGATTCCCCGTCCGATCGTGGGAATCTTTCGGGTTGGAAATTTTCTCGACTTCCCTGGGCATAGAGTGCTTGCCACACAATATACGAATTCATGCATTGGTATTGGCATCGAAAGCTCTCAGTTAATAACTGTGGGAGTGCATTTAGAACACTAAGTTGAGAGCACGCAATAAGCTAATATGCACTATGCAATAAGCTTGAAATGCGAATAAGAAGAAGAAGATATAACATAACAATTAAGGCTGGTATGTTAGTAGTAGCTGGAGCACCTAGGTTAAAATGAAATGTAATTTATTTTGAATTTGGAACAAATAAAAAGTTAAAAACAAACATCAAGGATATCATCACGATTCTAAAAGCCATCTAATGGACATTTGATATCGATCTAATATATCATTCTGATGCCGCGGATCCACTTGAATGACAAACTATGAGCATGATTATTATTTGTATAATAATTACGAGCACTACTCAAAAACTATTATACTACAAGTGTGACCATGGATGAGCATGAATTTTATTATACAAATATTAATTATAATAATTTATGCTCAATTCAAACAGTAGATAATCTATTTTTCAATTTACCATCGTCAGTTTCTGCTCTAGTTCTCAGATTTGATAACAACACTTCTCAATCCTCGATTAATATTGTTTTCCTCACGCAAATCGTTAAAATATAGCTGGTAGAGTGTTCCGCTCATATCGAAATTAGAGAATGTCCGGGTTTATTTGGTCGCTTCTATTTTTCTCAGCCTGACCTATTTAAGAAATCAACTTTTACGAAATGGGCGAACGAAAGAATTTAATAGAGCTCTTTTTAATAAATTCATGAACATACAAAACAGCAAACTTCTTCAAAGTATCAACATTTTTTCACAGTCTACCACTTCACGCAAAATTGTCGCCCTCAAAAGTATCTTGCCCTCGGCAGCGGTAACGAATACGGATAGATTCGCTCGCCATTCAAGATGCAACTGGTGTAGTCATATCGGGTAATATTCAATAAGCCAATCGGTTCGCCTTTTTCGGCTTCGATTCCGGTAACTGCGCTGGAGCAATGATCCAGCCAAAACGATTCAATCTTCGGAGGTAACTCACAGCGCCAGTACTGATGGAAGGTAACAAAAAAAACGATGGATTTTAGTGGCACGACGTGTGATTGTTGGAATTAAGCTTACCTGAATCGTGTGTAACGTCTTCTCGGCATATAGTAAGTCGTTCCGTGTGATGGCAAGCTTCCGAAGTTTTCGTAGCTTTCCTATCGAGTCGTAATGGGAATTCACAACCTGTTTGTAATATATTTTACATAATTTATACCTGAAAAATAAAGATTCTATAAGCCTCAACCAAAAACTAAGTCAGCCACTATAATTACTTTGCTTCATGACTTTTACTAATATCCAGAGCATCTTCAATGTGGCTACTGAGTCTTTCAATTTCATTCTGCATCCGAACAATCGCCAAAATGTTCCTAGCTTCAATCTTGTTGACCAAAGTCAACACCAAACCTTCCAACACCCGCAGAGCAGTGTGAACGTTAATCATCGAATCGTGCGGGGTCAGCACGAACACCTCCTGCAACTTGTTCATCCACGTATCGGCAGTTTCCCAAGCTCCGTTCCGAACACACCAGAGCCACAAATCAGCATACAAACGCGTCACCGCATAAGCATCCCGTTGATAGCCCAGAGCTTCACAGTTCTTCAAAAAGAAACTCTCGCACTCCTTGTACGTCTCGATACAGCAGCTCGTATCCAGCATAATGTCCATTGCAATCGAATAATACCAAGCCTTGGCTGAGGTGTCCTGATAGCGATCGGTCAGTGCCTGAAAGTCCCATAGCATACTGACGGCATCGGAAATCCTCCGATGTGACATCAACAGCTCGGCCAAGATCGGAATGATGTGCCATTCGCTGGTCTTGAATTGCAAGGTATCGGTGATCTTCAGAACAACTCGACCGAACTCGATCGAAAGCTGCTTCGTGGATCGAATGGTTCTGAGAGATGTGCGTTCTTGTTAGTTCGATTTGTTAGTAGAAAATTAATATGAATAAAAACTCACTGGCACATGAGCAAAGCGGTGTAGTATTGGACGACCGATTTCATGTAATCTATATTGATTCGGTCGACATTGTCTGCTATAATTTCCAATGATCGTTCCTGCATCCAAGCAATGTCATTGGAAAATCCCATGTGGAAGGCTATAATGCGTATGATTCGATTGTCAGTTTACTTACAAGAATCAAACCACTCACCGATCTGAAACACACTAGCGAAAGCTTCAACCAGCACTGATGCATTTCGACGGTATTTGAGGGCATGCTTAAGGCTCCATATGGCAGCCAATTGAGCAAGCTTCCACTGGGTTAGACGACGAAACAGGTGAAACATTCCATCGAAACAGGACGACAACTGGGATGCAATTAGAACGTAGTACAGTGGTTTCGAGCGCTCCGGTGGTGGAAGTTCTCGTTTGCGAACCATTTTTTGAACCTTGCCGAACAAAATCTCAAATTGCAGTTGAGCAATTTTGCTGAAACGTTATACATTTTTCATGCTTTTGTCCTACGGCTCATATTAATACTTACGTTGACTTCGGAAACGGCATTCCCATCACTTCCGATGCGGTATAGAAATATTCCGTAGCAATAGTGTACTGCTTCAACTCGAATCGGCAAACCGCAAGCAATGTGTACAAACGCCCTTTCAGATACGTGACCAGCGCTATATTAACGAATGTATCAATTTCCTAAAAACAAATGCATACCACATGAACGCAGGCTTCATCACCCAAATCAACCAACGAACCTTTATCTGCAACTGCACGCCCTCCAGCATCTGAATCGCCTTGGGAATGTTGGCTACCTTGATACAGCAGTTTGCCCACTCGATCTGTGCTTCAATGTGCTTCTCGGCCATCCGTGCTCCGTGACTGTGAAACACAATCTCATGGTACATCGAGTACAGTATCATATAGCAGCGACATTTGGTAAAATCGTATTCCCGGTAGCTAAGGATTGGAATCTTGCCCCGAGAAGGGGGTGACTTCCACCATCGGAAACAGTTTTGGAACATTGAACCTGGAAATTTTAAGAAAGTTTTGAATGCGAGTTCTATCAGAAAATAAAAACGAATTGTAGTTTACGGTCATGTGATTGCATAGAGAAACCCTAGAATAAGACAAAATGGTAGCACATTATTAAACCGTTTATCAATGTCTTTGAAATCAAACTAACGCTTGCGCCGCTCTTGAACAGCACATTCTTATAGGACAGATCCGAGTCCCTCCTTCGCCTGAATCCCATTATCACATCAAATTGATCGTCGCTGGAAATCAAATTGCTGAATGGTCCTCCCCCGCAAGAGGCACATCTAGGAAACAAACAAAAACAGGAAGATCGACGATTAGCAGATCGAAAACGTGACACCGCATATGCTTTCAAGAAGCTCACTTTTTCGTTTCTCGTTCTATAAACGTTAGCGCCCGGGAGTGGAACTCGATCTTCTGCTCTTCGGTGAGCAAATTGTACACCGTCTGGCGGAATAGATCAGAATTGAATTTCGAATACCCACATGCTGCATAGCGGGGAAGATCACGGCAAGCTCCTAAAAACAGGAAAAAGACGGATTATTTTCATTACTCTTGTAGACCAAATCACTTCTTGCCGTACTTGAAATCGGCAGCTTGATGCAGCCACAGATCCGCTTCTGCAGTTTCTCCGTATTGACGTTCCTCTGGAAGAGACTGAATCCGGCGGAGAAATCACCAACAGCACAGGACAAAATTTGAAGGTCAAACAATTTTTGGACAGCTGCAAAGTTGATTTGAAATACAAAATAAACATGACTCCGAATTCGACCCGACTATCAAACGATCACTTACCAACAGCGACATCCCGTTCGTTATCCTGGGCAATCACGAATATCAGTGCCACGCGTAGGAATTTTTCTCCCAAAACGGCAGCACATTTGCATACGTACTGTTCATAGGATGAAAGTGAATCGTACAGCATCAGATGGAAGGCATCCAAACAGGACGAGGGAAAGTAATCGCCAGTATCGATTTCCCCATTCAGACACGCTACATCGACCAGTTTGCTGGAGAAGTTCGATTGCATAAAAGGACTGAACTGATCATCGTCGGAACAGGATTCAAACAGATCCCAATCGCCACCACTCAGCCGTAAGGACATGGTAGAACGAGCACTGCTTCGAATCAAAAACGATGTCTCACAAAATACGTATCCTTTCCCTTGCGCTTCAATGGATCCCATCCGAATTACTCGCAGCAGTCCACATTGCTTCAGAGACATCACAAAGGTGTTGATCCAACCGGGATTTCCACTGCTCATGGTGTGTATCGCTCTGCAAAATATTCAACATAAGATCGTGTAGAATCACAGAATAATTTACCAACCGCTCCAAATCCAACGGTATTGCATTCACAGTCAAAAACTGACACGTGATCGCCTTATGGAGCAGCGTATCGATCGGCGTCAACTTCAACTGACACACGTGTGGATTGTTGAAAAGCCTTTTGAAAGGAGCTGCCAACCGCCGGCGGTAGCCCATCGCAAGCACCGTAATAACCTGTGGCATCTTCCAGAGAATTTCAAACAACTCGAACGATTCCTCATCCATAAATTCCAAATCGTCAATAATCAGTACCCACAGGTTTTGAAAAGCCTTCAAAAAGAAAAATTATTCGCCCGGCAGTTAGACAACACGCACGCGCCCGAAACGGTATCATGAAAAACGTACAGCATATACAGAGAAGAATCGATTTAGTTACCTTTTGGCAGAGTAGTTCGAAAAGCTTTCGTCTCATTTCTTGCCGTTCGGAATCGGTCATCATGCGTATGATTTCCGATTCCGGAAATTCTACATCCAGAATAGCGTTCAAAAGGGCCAACTGGGCCGTTAGTTGGTACTCGCCCAGATATTGTTTGATGCGGTTCTCTCGGGTGATGCTGGTGATCGTTTCGGTGAATCCGAGTGGCCTCGACAGGTACAGAGAGGCAGCGGAAAATGGTTTCTAGTGAGATCGAAAGTGCATTCGATTACAAACATTAAAATTACTCCCGAAATTCGGCGCACATGGATGCAATTGATCGGAAATGATTATAAGTGCTAAAATACAAGGCCCGATTCCTTTTTCGAAGGGACGTATCAGCTTTTGTAAACAATGCATTAGATCGTTGATTTGGCGTAACTGGTAGCTCGCTCACGCATGCTAACACTCCCATAAAATAGGCGAAATTTTCCCCTACCTGGTAGTGATGTTAGTATGTCTGGGCGATCTACCAGTTACGCCAAATCGACGATCAAATGCATTGTTTACAAAAGCTTATACGTCCCTTCGAAAAAGTAATCGAGAAGGGGTGTTTCAAGGTTGAAATCTTACATCGGGATTTATTCCGTAAACAAGGTTTAAATTGTGATTGGAAGTTTCCATTAATAAGGCCTAAATTGCCTAAAAGGGTGTCGAAACCTGAAATCTGAAATAAGGCATAAAGGCTGGTTTACAGATGGGATACAATAGGATTGTTCCCGACTAGGTTTTTTACTTTTTCTGTAAGTTACTGTAAGCGAATAATACAGGAATCTCCGATTTACGCGGTGGGTTGTGCCGTCTACTCACTGTCATTTTCCAGCAGTCTTTCAACCAACTGCGCTGATTGTTTGTGGTGACCCCACATACAAAAAATCAGCTCAATTGGTTGAAAGATTACTGATAAATGACGGTGGGCAGACGGCACCACCCATCGCGCATATCCGGAATTCCTGTATTATTTCCTTACAGCCACTTGCAGCAAAAGCGAAAAAGCAAATAATTCTTCTTTTAGAAATGACATTTAATTAATGGATGTAATTCCATTCTGCAGATAATTTCTAGGGCATTCTAAAAAGTGTTCTTAAATAAGGCCAAAATCACGATTTCTGGGGAGTTTTGGAGGTCAAAACTTAAATCGCGATTATCTCCGTAAATAAGGTCTAAATCGTGATCTCAAGGTTGTTTTGCGGGTCGAAATTTTAGTGTGGTAGTAATTTAGTAATTTCAGTGGTTCTTTGGTAGTTTACATTTTGAATCGCGAATGTCTCTATAAGGTGAAAATTGGTCTTTTGAGGGTCGAAATATTGAATCGCGAATATCTCCATAAAGAAGGCCTAAACCCCAATTTTGTTTGGTGCTTTGGAGATCTAAAATTTAATCGTGATTATCTCCGTAAATAAGCCATACATTTTTTATTTAAGGGATATTTTGAGAGTAATTGTTTAGAAACCTTAAAAAGGCCTAATTAGTGATTTCAGGGGTTTATGGAAGTCGAAATGTTTATTCGAGCTTATCTCTGTAAATAAGGCCTAAAGCCTGATATCAAGTCTTTTTGTAATCACGGTTAACCTAAAGAAGACCTAAATCACGGATTCAGAAGTTTTTAAATAAAACCAAAATCCTGTTTTGGAGGTCGAATTTTTCCGAGAGTTTAGATGCTCAACAAATCTCACACTACCCAAACAAAGCTTGAGATCAAATTGAAATCAAATTTTGCTGTTATGATGTAACTTATTTTGAATACTCCAGTTGATCTCATTTTGGTTGACTTAACGGTTAACACAGCAAAAATGAGAGCAGAATTTTACACTGTTGAATCAAACGGAAAACTAATCCTGCTTTCAATAAAATCAATTTGATTTCAATTCAATTTTTTTAACTGAATACGGGCCTGGTGTAAATGGTTAGCATCCATGCTTCTCATGCTGAAAGACTTGAGCTTAAATCTCACCCCGGGCAAGTTTCTAATGACCTAAAATGTGTTAAACAAAACAAATAAACAATAATCGTTAGTTCAACGACAGATGAACTTAAATTAACTTTTAAACAAGACGTTAACAGCAGAACTTCAAGTTAAGTTGCTTTCATTTTAAAAGGCTTGACTGCATAATGAAAGCACAATATGATATCAGACTTATGTATCGACAATTGAAATCAAAATATCGATTTGCTTTCATTTTGTTAACCGACTTTGCTCGGGTAGCGAATCAATCTTCGAAAAATCTTCTTTCATTTGTCGCATCTACTTGCATCGCGTATCATATTTTTGCAGGAAATCTTCAGAATCGTCATCAATCTTCTTTCTATCAACTCAGCGTGCGCGCAACTAGCCACAGCAAAAAGCAATCTTTTCTGCATCGTAGATAAAGTCGTCCCCCTCGAATTTTTCATCGCGATATGCTTCGTAAATAACCGGTCATGCAATAATTACGTAAGCACTTATTGTGATTTTTAAAATCCCCCTTCCTCCCTTTTATAAGATCTTAAACCAAATATTTGAAGGTATGTACCGTCGAGTAGCCACTGGGTGCTCCCTACACTGAGTCACCTCGAAGCTCGAAGTAAGTTCTATAGAGATTTTCACGTCCGGTTGTATTGGGGAGATATGTGAGAGCGAGTTAGTAAATATCCGAGGAAAATACATAACAAATCGATGTCAAACTCATTTTGATAGATCTACTTTCATACATTTTTTTAGGTTAGCCAGAGGAAAATAATAAACAACTTTACACGGCGTTGCTCCCGCTAGTGTGCGTGCGTTAAACGTCACTAATCTCTATACGCCTTTTTAATAGAAACCAAGCAATCGATTCCACCTCTGGTGGTGAATAAGAGAACGTCAAAAATAGAGTTATGAGCAGGCATTTTCAACATGAGACATATGAAACGGAACAATTTTTCACTTTTCCTGATAAATTCTGCATCGTTTTTGCAAGCATCCTGCTGGTGTTCAGGAATATTTTTGTAGAGAAGAAATGGAAAATAAGAATACGCCTTTTTAATAGAAACTAAGCGATCGATTCAACCTCTGGTGGTGTATAGGAGAACGTCAAAAAGAGTGTTGTTAGAAGAAATAGTTGCCGTGAGACATAGGAAGCGGGACACTTTTTTACTGTTCCTGATAAATTGATTCATCTGAGATGCTCGAAAACTTGATCTATAGTTGAAAACTTTAATTCTGTATTAATTTTGGAAGGATCCTGCTAGTGTTCAGCAATATTTTTGTTAAGAAAAATTGAAAATTCCAATAGTGCCTTAGTGGTTATGTTCCCCCTGGATTTCTTGTGTGTGAATAGTTAAGGTGCAAAATAAGACGATTACTGATCGAAATTGGCAAGATGGTCAATAAAAAATGCTTTAATTTTTGTTGTACTTTCCCCCTTTCTTTAACGTCGGTCTCTGTTCCGCAATCTAGTGCCAATCACCGACGGACATCGATTGCCATCCATTGGCGGCAATCGAATGTGCAAGGAAGGCAGCTTCCACACACCTGCGTAGGATATCGCACCCATTGAGCCGGGACCAACGGCTTTACTTCCCTTCCGAAGGAAGACGTGACCAGAGATTTTTATGCCTCAGGGGTGTTGGAAAACAGTCACGCTTACCACTACACCACCGGCGCCGGCTTTAATTTGTGTTGTGAAAATTCCCTCTTCTGATGTAAACAAACAGTTTGGTTAACGTTTCCTCTCGAACCCGCGTGGTGCCTTCTACGTTGGCGGTGCATTAAAAAGGCCTATACAACCCAAATTCGCTGGTTGGGCCACCACTGGACAGAAGGCTAAAATTTGTCGGGGGTATGCGTATCCTTTGTTGCGGTTAAGAAGATTTAACAAAAAATAATTAGGATAGAAGTAAATTGCTTGATGTGCTATGTGTTTTAGATTTCTTCTGGAATTTCAAATTAAATTCAAATGTTTCTATCAAATACCATATGTTTGCACACATTACATTGAATGCGCAGTTCAAAACGCATTTGCTTACCCCTAGGAAGAGTTTATGGTTGATTGTCAAATCTATTGTGACATGAGATTTTGACATCCAGATGCTTTTTAATTGGGTTATGGCCCAACTAGCGAACACCCAACTAACGAGCCCCCCAACCAACGAATCTCCGATGTAGTGTCTTCACGCTAACTTGAAAGCTGCATGAAGTCTTTCGTGGAACTGGAAAAATCCTTACCTTCCATGAAGTAATGAAATTGGGTTGTTAGCGGAATGCTTCAATAAAACAGCAAAAAGGTTATCTTCCATTTAATTCCACTTAATTAATTTTGGTATCCATGACAGATACGTATTTCGACTACAATGTGCAGTCTTCATCAGTGTCATTCCCACTAAAGAACTATTCAAAATCTAACCCCCTTAAGTACTCATCCCTTAGGTATAAAAGTCAAGATCACAGGTATAAAAATGAAACTACAATGTGTTGAATCGGAACCTACCTAACTAATTAAAACCAAAGATTTAAGTAAACTAAAGGAGTAAAATCTATTCAACTCTCTAATAAGGAAAATCCCAAAGGCTTGGTAGCCATCATAATGAAGTAATGAAATTGGGTTGTTAGCGGAATGCTTCAATAAAACAGCAAAAAGGTTATCTTCCATTTAATTACACTTAATTAATTTTGGTATCCATGACAGATACGTTTTTTAAAACCTTGAGTACATCCAGGAGTATCAAGTCTAAAATCAGCAAAAATTTACTGGTAACTGATTTTCTTATTCTGATTTTAAATCGCTGAAAATCAGGAAAATTTGAAAGCCTCCTTAATAAAGTTAAATCAATCAATCAATCAGTAAAATTTTGAAAATCAGTAAGATTTTGATGATTTTAGACTTGATGCTGATTTTAGACTGACTTTAGACGCTGTCAAAACATTCCAAATCAGACTTCTAGAGGCACTGCTGTATAATAAATAACGTGTCCGGATTCTAAGTGGAACAGACTGTATGTCACCACCTCCCCCTTCAAAAATTACAAAATATTGAAAAGGCCAAACAAGTTTTAGCCCTATAGTCCATTCTATTCGCACGAGTATTGATGGTCTTCTTCTTTCCTTTATTTAAAGCGCCCATTACACATGTCAATATATTGACAATAAATTGACATACTGACAATATTATTGAAAAGGTGATATTGATGATGATGATTGATGACAGGTATTGACGAAAAGCTGATTTTCATTTCACTTTGTCAATACTCAGAATATATTGACAAAAAAAAACAGTCATTTCTATCAATATCATCAATTTACGAATATTGACAACATCAATGGCAATACGTTTGAAGCCTTTAAACCTCAATGTATTAAAGTCAATATTACTTGTCTCAATTTCCCCACACAAGAAACGTGGATCAGCGGGTCAAAAGAGAAACGTCGTTGCTGAACCTATGGAAAATACTAACTACACACTGAATTCGGATAACCTAAGTCGGTAAAATGTTACCCGTTTTCTGAACTACTGAAAAAGTCGGTAAAATTTCAAATTACCATTACTCGTAAGAAATCAATAAAATCAACACATTATCATTGAATGATTTTAAATAGGTCCGTACAATTTCGCAATAAATTTCAAAATTGTTGGATTGGTTGGCACTAGAAATACTCAGAGGGAGAGATGGGCGGAGAGAATGTTTTGATCCAAATGAACTGTCAGAATCTGAGCCAATCGAACATTCCCATTAGAATTTTTCCGAGGATTTCTTATTCTTTCTAGTATTGCAAACGAACAGAAATTCAATCCCCTTTATGTTTTGTGTGCTTCTCAAATTTAACTAGTTTTTGGAACCAAAAACAATATTCTAACTCTATTGATTAATTGATCTTCGTTGTTTAATGAATGGCACCAAGAATTGTGCGAAATATTGCGATGCAATCAATTATTATTTTGCACGTAACTCGAATCAAAAATAAAACTCATTTGAAATGCTAGCTTCTAGCAAGGGTTGCAAGATAATTTAGGAACAAATCTCTGCTTCCGAATTGAATTTTGTTTTCTCCGCCTATCTCTCCCTCTGAGTATTTCTAGTTGGTACCTGAGTACTGCGAACTAACTCAAAATGCTTGTCATCTGGGAGCCGAGTTGAACTGTCAAACGGGAACCAAACATTAAAAAGAGCTCATAAGTCATGTGGGTAGTTACTGGCAGTAACTTACTGCTTGAACCACAAGTAAAGGTATTGCCACCTACTGAAATCAAATTAAGAAGTATAATTATGAAACTGTCAAAACATCGACCTTAGTAGGCGGATATTGTAAATAATCTAACGTGATGCTCGAATAATTATTTTATATTAATAATAATGCCAAAACTGGGTTACGAATTGCTGAAATAAGAATTTAATCAAACTTTATAAGAGTCATGTGAGCTTTGTGGGCAGGTGCACTCCCAACACCATGTATTCGTTATTTGTGGAGCAGAGAAGGAGGAGCCAAGAGTTCATTTGACAGCATGTATATACGATGTCGTGAGCTGTTTCGGCGAAACAATTTGAATCTTCGAAAGATTTTCATAATTTTTTTTGCTCACTTGAAAAATTAAACCGACAGAGTTCGCAATACCCAGGTTGGCTATCCTTTCATTCCACTGAAAGTGCCAATAAGAAACTGTCAATATTTGTCGATTTCTCGACGGTTCTGTCAACACCAATATCAAATGTTGTAACTTTTTGACAGGACACAGAAAATACACAGGACAACATGATAACAAATTAATGGAATTGAATCAAATCGATTGTCGACTGCGCGGAATTACCACTCGTGTTCAATAACCCACGTTCATGGTATGGAGTTTCCTATATATAAACTATTATGCTGATGTTTTGGTAAACATTCCTAAAGGAAAAACTTGCATATATTATTTAATTTGCGTTACGTGTAGGCATGTGAAACGCAGACAGTATTTATTTTATTTTAAAGTGATTATGCTTGTGATTTTGTAGCAAATGAACATCCATATAGACGAAGCCTGGGTAGTGATTGGTGACTGTAAAAGGATACTTTTTTTGTTTAGTTTGATATCCATTTTATATCACACACGAAGATTTAAACAAAATGGCAACACTGCATGCGTGAAGGTGCATTGTGAGTCAGTCGGTCTAAATGACGTACGTTCTCCCTCCTCTTGCGTAGGGGAATAATATTGAGAAAGTGGAATGAAAATCAGTTTTCAACAATACTCGTCATAAAACCATCGTCATCAATATTACCTTTTCAATAATATTGTCAGTATGTTAATTTATTGTCAATATATTGACCTGTGTAACCAACACTTTAGTGAATTGTCATTAATGTTGTAAATATTTATAGATTGATTATATTGTAAGGAAAATTGACAATACGATGTTTGTCAATATATTGACATATGTAATGGGCGCTTAACGTCAATCTCTGTTCCGCAATCTAGTGCCAATCACCGACGGACATCGATTGCCATCCATTGACGGCAATCGAATGTGCAGGAAGGCAGCTTCCACACCTGCGTAGGATATCGCACCCATTCAACACACATGGGCCGGGACCAACGGCTTTACTTCCCTTCCGAAGGAAGACGTGACCAGAGATTGTTATGCCTCAAAAAAATCCCACCGACCTCGCAGTCACGCTTACCACTACACCACCGGCGCCGACGAGGGCGCCGGCTTGTATTGACGGTCCGAAAGTGATGATAACAATAACAAACGAACATTTTTGGCGAAAGTGAGGATAACAAACTTAGCACTTGAAAATGGGACACGCAAGTGTGCGTGTTATAAACGTCAGAAAGGTCAATTCTTAGTCGACCCTCGCTCTGCGGTTTTTTCTAAAACTGCTCAAAAAAAAATTGTATTTATAAATTATTATTAAATGAGTTGTTTCTACATTATTTTTTGCCCCGTCTATCGACCTATTTGAGTGATACCAGACATAAAATGAAATTAATAATTGCCTCTATACGGCTGATATAAACGAGAAAAAAACAAGTAAAAATAGGTCAACTAGAGAGCTAAATATTTGTTTGTTAACTTCACCGATTTTATAACAACAAAAAAATGCTTTGGGATTATAATCAAAGCAACAACATATTCATTTTGACAGCATTGGGACAACTTAAGCCAAGGTTTGAGCAATGTTAGTGAAATTCTTAATATTTTCCATGCGCAACCCACAAAACCGCACCAATCTTTACCGTTATTTGTGCAGGCTTATATTTTATAGTAGATTTATAGACTCAAAACCAAAAACAAAATAAAATCGAACATCCACAACCTACCTTTAGATCCCTCATCGAAAGCGTCAATCGCAGGGAACTGATTTTCTTATTCTTCAACGAGATGTGAAACAGTTCATTCAGCAGTCGTGTCTTTCCTATCTGCGCTTCACCTCTAATCAGGAGACAACTTTGGTATTCATGAATCTTACCAACATCGTCCGGATTCATGTTATGCGTAAGAAACAGTCCATCGTCCAACATTTCCTGAAAAACTTCAAGAATTTCGTCCCGCCCCACTATCGGGAAGTCATACTCAATAGGTTTAATCATTTCTCTTTCCCTGAAAGTAGAAGACAAGCTCAAACCTACATTGAATTGAAAGGATTCAACATTCCTCGAGACTTACGGAACAATTTCCTTGAACTCGTAGATCGTTCCCACGTTCTGCAATCCCTTCAACTCGATCGTTTCCTGCAACAGAAAGTGAATCGGGTCCAACTTGCTCATCATGAACGTATCCTTATCGCAGGTGACCTTATTCGGATAAGCCATCATCAGTCGAGCCGCCTTGTTTACCGTTACGCTAATCACCGAGTATTCCCGACGAACGAAATGTCCCACCACGCCACAGTACGTAGTCCCGGTGGTAACACCAATCGAAGCGGAGAGCACTTTAGGATTAGCACGGTACAATTCGCGAATTTCCGATGCACAGCGCAGGGCAATCTGACTGTCCAGATCGTGCTTGTATCCGCGCAAGCCAAAAATTATCAGGAACATCACGTCCTTGTCGAACAGGGATACCTTGTTGACGGTTCCTTCGTAACCTTCGACCAAACTGCAATATTTGAAACAATTATGGGAACTAATGATCGGGCTATTTTTTTATATTTTTCGGTACTCACGTGCACAAGGATGTGAAAATCGAATTTATTTCATCAATAACTACCAACGTATCCTTGGGCTTCAAGACAATGTTGAGAAACACGGTTACGATTTGTCGCATCTCGGTCAGAAACTCCAATGGTTCTTGCGTGTCTATTGCGTTCAAAATTGGCTTGATCATGAATCGTCTCAACGAGGTCGCTATTGCTTTAGTCCCAACATACTTCAAACTAGGTCGGACTAGAGTTAATTCAATTTAGAGAAACAGATAAATACCAAGATTCAATGACAGAAACATACTGCCCAAGGTTTCACTGTCCAACTTCATTTCATCGCCCGCCGCAATCCCCGGATCGTCATCTTCTACTTCATTTTCGTGGAGCAAATCAAAGATATTCAAGCGCTGCGCCGATCGCCAACTGCTGGTGAATCCCTTAATCCGTAAATGTACCTTATCATCACACTGTTCAGATATGTATTCATTTGCTTGTATGTAATTCCATGCTAGTTTTTTTTAGACAAAACATTATTAGTTTACAACGTATAGCACTTAACAGCCGTACCTAGATGATTGACGATAATATCCCCCGGTTCGGAGATCTTCTCTGCGATCTTGACCTTCCAAACCGGATGGCCGATGACAACGTAATGCGAGAAGCTCTCCGTCCCAATGAGCGAAAAGTGAACCTCCCCAGCAGATATAGCGATCTTCACCCGCAACGTGACACCCACTTCGGTTTCGTAGGCTCCAAACGATTTCTGTATGACGATCGCCGTATCGATGGCACGGTGCGTAGCGTCCGCCATAGAAACCGAAGAGGTTTCCTTGAACAGCACCAGGAAAGCATCACCGGAGAACTTTAGGATGTCACCCCCGTGCGACAGGATCTCCTGAACCATTGCCCCCAGGTAGGAGTTGAGAACTTGAGACAGCTTGGAGGCTCCACCTTTTCCCGGTTGGTTGAACTTTTCCGAGAGGTCCGTGAAACCTGAATATTAAATTAAATTAGGTCATTTTAAAGGTTAGGTTGTTAGGTCATTAGGTCATTAGTAAAACATATGTAGAATATAGAGAGACAAAATGTCAATTTGGAGGTTCACAATACAATACATTAAACTCTTTCTCGTCCACGATGAACCTAGAATTCCTGCAACATTTAAGCCCTATACACACTAAGAGGACTCGAATGCTTAGGCCATTTTTCAGGACATTATTATTCAGACAACAGGTTGATCTTTTTTTTTCGAACCTAGCTAAACTAAAATTTCTTATGGTCGCGTTGATTTTTACATTCGCCGGGACGCTTCGCTAAAGTGGACCCTACACGATTGCTTTTATTGACAATAATCGTATTGTCAATACATTCTATATTGACGTCAATATATCGAGATTGACAATATTTCTGAATTCACATCAATAATTCCCCTTCGCGTCAATACATTGATGCGTGTGGGGTTTTCTTAAGATCATTGGTTTTGCTGCACAATTGGGCTCCTCATGTGGATAAAAAGTGATCTTTGAGAGAAAAAGTTGTTAATTGTTGCTTTCCGAAGTCCTGAGGATCTGTTGTGAGAAAGGAAGCGGATTGCTGATGAAAGCAGCACCTCGAAGAGATTTAAGGCAACGGAAGTGAAAAGCCCTTTTCTAGGACCCTGCCGGATCGATTTATGGTATGTAGCCTTGGCGTGAATCGTTTAGCTTCCCGTAGAACTTTCGTGTGTCGTGCAGCACAGAACGCTTCACTGTAAACGCCGGAAGGTCGATGTTGTGCTGTACCACAGAATGCGGACTTGGACGATGAGATGCAAAGCGTAGAGGAAAACAAGACTACAGGAGGATCAAATGAACATGTTGAGAGCTGTCCAAATACTTTTACAATCTAAAAAAAAATTAAGAACAAACAAAATACGTGGCAGGATTCAAAAGAACATTTTTGAGTGTGTAATACTAATATCCAATTGATATAGGTAATATATACATCCGGGGCTTATTATAAATGAAAGTAACCTCGGAATGGGCGTGACTCTCCGGACATTCTGAAATGGGTTACTGGATCTGCAATAAGATTTTGCACCGTCGGGGCTAACCTCAATCGGATGACAGTTCAGTGGTATTGTTTACGTGGACCTAGTCGATTTTTTCTTGGGTAGATTTTCTCGATAATTTTTCAGACTACAGTGAGATGTAAACCGCACTTCTGCATTGTCCACGAGCAACATCCTTTCACCGTGCTGTTCCTCGACAAATTTCAAGTTAAAATTCGGAAATTTTAAAATATTTTTTACCACTGAAATGTCAAAAAGGTTCAGTCGATTAACACTGAGTTCATTCGTGACTTCAAACTGCAGAACCTAATTAGGTTTTGCACCGTCGGGGTTAACCTCAATCTGATGACAGTTCAGTGGTACTGTTTACGTGGACTTAGTCGATTTTTTCTTGGGTGGATTTTCTCGATAATTTTTTAGACTGCAGTGAGATGTAAACAGCATTTCTGCAATGTTCACGAGCAACATCCTTGCAACGCGCTGTTCCTCGACAATTTTCAAGTTAAAATTAGGAAATTTTAGAATTTTTTTTTCTCGAAAAAACGACTAAGTGCTTGTAAACAGTACCACTGAACTGTCAAAAAGGTTCAGCCTATTAACACTGAGTTCATTCGTGACGTCACGCTGCAGAACCTAATTAGGTACTGCAGCGTGACGTCATAAATGAACTCAGTGTTAATCGGCTGAACCTTTTTGACAGTTCAGTGGTACTGTTTACAAGCACTTAATCGTTTTTTCGAAAAAAAAATTCTAAAATTTCCGAATTTTAACTTGAAAATTGTCGAGGAACAGCGCGGTGAAAAGATGTTGCTCATGGACAGTGCAGAAGTGTGGTTTACATCTCACTGCAGTCTGAAAAAATATCGAGAAAATCTACCCAAGAAAAAATCGACTAAGTCCACGTAAACAGTACCACTGAACTGTCATCAGATTGAGGTTAACCCCGACTGTGCAAAACCTAATTAGGTACTGCAGCGTGACGTCACGAATGAACTCAGTGTTAATCGGCTGAACCTTTTTGACAGTTCAGTGGTACTGTTTACAAGCACTTAGTCGTTTTTGTCGAAAAAAAAATTCTAAAATTTCCGAATTTTAACTTGAAAATTAATCATTTTGTTCGACCATTTTCCACAGAGATGGCGCTGTTCCGCTGGTAGGAAGTGATTAAAATCCCCATATAAAAATTGAGAGAAGTGGGAATAATTCGCTTTCGGTGCATATTCAGGTCAAAAAAAAAGTAAACGACAACCTAAAGAAATTAATCAGGGACTTTGTCGTTCATTTTTTTCCCGGAAATTATTGTTAAACAAGCAACAATTAAATAAAAATGATTTTTCTCCATACAGTTTTACCTGATTTACTACCAGCTCCCAGAGCCAAAAAATTCAAATTTGAGAGAGAAAATTTACTCTCACGACCTCAATCTCTCAACATGCCATGTATTTTGTTGACACTCGATTTGTCATTTCCCTTTCACAGATTACAAAATAGAGTACCTGACACTACAATACATGTCTGGTACCTCTATATATGCATTTGTTTTAACATTTTAAGTTCCTCCTTTTTTACATATTCTGCGCAAAAGATACTTTATGCCCCGCCTTATACCCCGTTCACATTACAGCCTATATCACGTAATATAGGCTGTCTTGCAATGAGCACTCATACATAGAATTTCCAGTGAAAACTAGATGTATGAGTGCTCATTGCAAGACAGCGTATATCACGTGATATACGCTGTAATGTGAACGGGGTATTATACATAAAAATCGGCGGGAAATTCAGTGAGGGGTTAGCTATTTTGTGTGCAGAATGTGTAAAAAAGGAGGGACTTCGAATAATAATCTAAATGCATATATAGAGGTACCAGACATGTTTTGCACTGCAGTGTCCTCTGTGAACAATTATAGGTGAACATTGCAGAAATGTGGTTTACATCTCACTGCAGTCTGAAAAATTATCGAGAAAATCCACCTAAGAAAAAATCGACTAAGTCCACGTAAACAGTACCACTAAACTGTCATCAGATTGAGGTTAACCCCGACGGTGCAATGGATTCCTGTGGAAAACCTAAAAAATCTGCCGGAAAATAAGGAAATTGACGAAAACTTTATTCAGTCTCGGAGTAGTACCAATAGACTGAGTGAATCCAATCTTTACTTTTCTCAAATTCGGGAATTTTTCCCTGGAAAATCTTGGAAAAAACCTGGAAAAACATGAGGCAAATTTACTCATCGCTGAGGTCCTGCACTTTTGGCGATTATGAGTGAACTAAACTCAAATTTGGGTCGTTCTCATTCGCCGTGTAGAGAGAGTTCTTCCACAGACAAACAGACATAACACATTGAATATTTCTCACTGTAAAACATTACCGCCATCTGTTGAGTACACTGTGGTGGGTAGTACGCTGAACAGATGACGGTAGTGTGTAAATGGCAAACGCAAGGGGATTGACTATGCACGCCCCAGGTGGCGGTACTTTTAAATTTACCGTTAAATGCTTGTTCGATGAACAACTTGCGAAAGTTGGGTCTGTTTGTCTGTGTTTATTCCATGCCGGCCAGTGGGGGTTAGAGAGAATACACACACACACATTATTATTCAGACAACAGGATAATACATTTAGGCCCACCGGTAACCGTCGATGATGACCAATGAGATGTAAACAGGTGTTGGAATGTGAATTTGTCGCGTAAATTCCGTCATGCTCATGCATTTAAACAGCGGGAGAACGAAAGAGACGACAAACTAACATTGCCTCACCTGTTAACATCACATTGGATAATGACACCAGCAGGGAATTTCAAAGACACATTCTGGCAGGAAATCGTAGTTACTTAGGGCCTGTTCATAAACTAGGTAGGCCGTTTTAGGGGGGGTTGACAATTATCTACGGACCATTCAAATTTAAAAAAAAAATGTATGGACAATCTTCTACGCAGGGGGAGGAGGGGCCAATAATCCCAAAAACCTGTCTCTGAGTTAATGAATAGCCGATTACACTCAAAAAATTCCACACGTATGATCGAAGTGTTTAAGCACTTGAGTTTTCAAATACACAATCACATTAACTTTAAGTGTATTTCACCTTGGTTCAATGTGTTATACACGTTAATTCATAGTGTTTCAGACTTTGAAATGATGAAAATCTTTCACTATCTATTCAAGTGCATTGCACATTGAATCACACTACTGTTCAAAACAGATGGATTTAAAGTGTTTTGCATTTCAATGCGATGTGAATTGCTTGCTCAGAAAGGTAAACATCGAAAACAAGACTTGTGACTTTATCCTATCAACCCGCCTCATATATGAGAACAACCGTGGCACAGTGAGATCGAACGAAGACTCCGGCAGCAGCACACCCCAACAGTCCATGATCGAATCCCAAATCAGACCCATTAAAAAGATATGTGAAAGCTCTGGCCTCTGGCAGTTTTTTTTTTATATATTTGTAGATTCATTTTTAGAGTCGGTAAAGTAGAAGTCGATAAAGTAGAATATTGAACTATGATGTGTAAACCTATTTATATCACCAAATGAGACACATAGAATCCAAGTGTGTCACAATTTAAATTCATAGCGTACAGGCATGATTCATAGCATAAGATTCACACATGAAATGGATGTGTTTCACAGCACAAATTTTATTGGCGCTATTTAATTGTCAGTCATGTCTCTTTGAAAGCATATATTTAGTATTATTGTTCAAAGGTCTCATGATACTCCAGAATACGCTAAATAAATCACTAGAATATTTCAAGCTGAACATTACATCGATTCTCTTCATCGACTTTCTCTTTCGTTAATAACTTGCATATAAAACCATTTCGACAGTGAGCATGCATAAGGGCGAATACGCGATGATCGATTCTCTTCACCGATTTTCTCTGTGCATTGCTACAGCTAAGCGAAACAATTTTCTAGAATTTGTTCAATGCAGAGTTGTAACAGGTTGTATTGGCTATCAAAAGCAACAGCAAACGCACCGAGAAACGTTAAATCTAGCGATTTATTAACAAAAGAGAAAATCGCCGAAGAGAATCGATCATCGCGTGTCGGAGACGAGCCAGCCAACGGCTGAAAGTCTCCTTAATAAAGATATAAAAAAAAAAAGATCATCGCGTATAGGCCCTTATGCATGCTCACTGTCGATTTCATGTATTAGAAAATAGATAATAGCTTATTTCATCGATCTGTGAGCTGAAAATAGCTGGGAATATCTAAGCATGGCCGTGAGGATGCAAAGAGCAAGTGGACGAAGAGAATCTGTCAATGTTACTTAGGATCTAATGCAATGTTCAGCTTGATTTCACCTGACAAATATGTGTTTCATCAGCAAACATGGATAGCATCGAAATTGATTACAGTATATACAAAAGCATTTACAGTTTAGAACATTTTAACTCAAATTTATTCTTATGATTTCTCAAAATACGTAGTATGATGTGTGGATGTTCAATTTGATTATTAAATTTATTTCTATTGAGCAAATATTTAAATCAGTGAAGTAGGATCTGTTTAAAAAATATCCGAATTAGGGGAAATGGCTCTAATGTTGCCCTATGGATCTAAGATTGGGCCCATCGCTAAAAATCTGATATTTATCAATTTTATCTAGATGAACGCGTCATTGGGACGGTACTAATTGATATTTTTGGTCGCTATTGAAAATTTAGTCGATTACTGAATTTATGTATGGGCCCAAATTAGGGGCATTTAGGCCGACATTACATCCATTTCCCCTAATACTTAATCAACCGAAATTTGATGAAGAACATTATTATTGCATTTTGATTAAATCGGAGTTAGTTATTTAGAAATCAGAGGAGTCGGAGTCGGTTGATTTAGATTTTAACTCCGGGCACATACCCCGGAACATACATAATAATTAAATCCAAACCCCTACAATTGTATTATGCTTTTATTTTATTCAGTGAAAATCTAACTAGATAAATCGTTTTTAAGAGTTCCATTGCTTCCTTTTCGATTAACTTATTCATATTAAAGATTTTTATTTAAAGTATTGAGCAAAAGCTAAAAATATCAACTATTCTTGTTTTATCTTTGACAAACAACATGAACTGTTGATTTATTTGATTTTGCGATAAGAGTTGCTCTTCAATTATCGATGTAAACGAATAAGATTATAATTAAAGCCTATATGCAGCTCTGCAGTCACATCATTGATTTGTATCCCAAGAAGATTTATTAACGTCGAATCTTAGAATCACTAAACTGTCTCATTTTCCCCTAAATACTTTACTATAAGCATGACAGCACAGAACAGAAGGAGAAGTGCAAACAAATCGGTGAATCAAAAAGTGTTCGTTTTTCTGCTCAACAAGCGATGTGTTGTGGTAGCGTTCCACACGGGCTTTCTATGTGCACTCACACTATTATAGCATGCTGCCTATCTCAACTGCAGGCAGAAGATGCCTTCTACCGCTAGGTGCGCTAGTGTTCGCAAATGACAAGTGGAGCCACTTTCTGAGGCAAAGTTCCACTCCTGTGATGACAGCCATGCCACCACAGTAATTTTCTATAAAGCATAGGCTTCGATTCAAATCCCATAAAAAATCTTATACTCATACCAGTAACAATACAAACAAAACATATCTTAAAGCAAGAGTGCTGATCTTACGAGTGAAACACGCTGCTCCACACCAACTGCAAGAGATAAGACACGAAATCTCTCGCCTCGCGTGCTTTTAGATGGCACTGTGTTTGTAACCTACCGTGGACCCGAACTTTAGGATAGAGCTTGAGAGCATGCATTGTCGGTGAATATACAGCCGGTGATACACAACTACAAATTAAAAAAAAAACCGGCAAGCTAACAACAAATTCAATCATTTCTAGGGGTAGACGGGGCAGGATGGCTACCCTAAGGTAGACATCATTTTTGAATGCAATAATTGCAATTAATACATTGAAATAGTGTCTACTCTAGTTATTTGATGCCTGTTCTAGCATCTACGCATTAATACAGGATTTTTTTTAAATAAATTTAAAAAATAGCTGTTTTACACCGTTCTTATCCATCGCGGGGCTAAGCCAAATAATAGAACTATTCCACAAATGGTTTGGATGATACCTCGAACACGTCGTTAAGCAAACCATAACAATTTTATTAGGGATGTCAAGTTGATTTTGTATAGTATTTTTGGATTTTAATAATTATATTATTTAGTTTATCAAGTCAAAACAACCATGATGCCTTGTTTACATTATGCTGGCTTCTTTTTTGTAAAGTGCTAGAACACTAGCGCTAGCAAATCCGCACAGATGTAAACACACCACATAAAGGGTACGTATGCGCAGTTTTTAAAAAGATAAGATTGTTGATGCCATAAGAGTGCGCATCTTGCCCCCTCTACCCCTACAGTCCAGCAGCTGCTCGACAACCAACATCAATTCGTGCCAGTTAGTTCAGTCAGTAAAGTACCGCGTTTGGAAGACACTGGAATTTTAACGGCCGGCTGGGCGAAACAATAACAACAACAACAAAAATAGGATAGTGCTAGAAGGTGAGTCAGGTCAGGTCATTTGAATTGAATTGAGTTGAACAAAAAAGTGGATATCATTAAAATGCGTATTATGATCAACATTTGATCGATTTGATCAATTCTGGATTTGGATTGTCTTAAGATAAGAACACTACCACAGTAAAATCCTGAAAGTCATTGCTCAACGTTTTGTTTTGTATTAATATTTAATCAACAATTCTTACGATTCTTATCTAATTCGTTCATTGCACTTTCGATCTTCAAGAAGAAAACGAAGCCACTTCAAGTTGGTTATGTGATGAGAATGACTAGACAAATGGAACATTTGAACCTTGTTTGATTGGAAAAAAAAACATTATTTATGATAAATCACCGACTTGTGGTTAGAGCACGGTTGTCGAGAGTAATTGAATCTAATCAACTTTGTTGAACGTAAATGCCGAAGCAATCGGGCTAAATAAAGCCTTTCACGAATTTGATATTGATATATAATAAAAATTGACACGCAATGTGTATGAGTCTGTGCACAGATTGTTCTGATGAAGTTAAAGATCATCCTCACCTTGAGAAAGTATAGACAAGTACGGCAGCATTTTACAGATCACTAGCAGTGTTGGAAAGTACGCGAAATTTCATTACGATTCACGAACATTTTCTTGTGGTGAGTCAGTCTTAGGCGAAAAATTCCTAGTAGAAAAAAGGGTTCAATTCCCGATTCGGTCTAGAAATTTTTTAGAAATTTACTAGACTTCCCTGGGAATAGAGTAAAATTGCATTAATTAATGCTGGTTGGCACCGAAAGCTCTCTATTATTAACTTTGGAAGTGCTCCAAATCCAAGTAACATTTAACGTTTTATGAAGTGCTACAAGGCTTCTATAAAACAACATTCATAAAACCCTGGTCAAGATAGCTTTGCCTTTATTACATCCACCAAAACCTCGTTAAGATTAGAATCTGTCTACACAGCTAAAAATAAATTTTAATATTACATCCAAAAGGATGCACTTCAATCATGTCGAAAATTTAATGTAATTTTTATGGCCATAAAAATAAACAAATGCAGTAAAAGCAGCGTAATGTCAGCACTGTATTAATGATAATTGTGTCCTTTTTTGCAAGTAATATTACAACATATTTTCGACATGTGAAGTGCATCCACTTTGATGTGATATTAAAATTATTTTTTGGTGTGTAGTTGGCCCACCCTGAAGAAGGTTCTAAAGAGTGCATTATCGAGACATTTCAAGAATGACTTGCTGCAAAAAGGTTATGTGACGAATGCATTGAGAACCATTTGAAACGTTGGAGGCGAACCAGCCCAAGGCTGAAAGCCTCCCTAATAAAGATAAATAATAATAATAACCATTTGAAATTCTTATTAAAAGTACAATAAAAGCCATTTAGCACCAATACTTGTGCCATTTGCCTTTGAAGCTTGCTAAGCGCACTAAAAATAAAGCATCAATCAAGATCAAAAGGGATACATAAATATCGTCCAATCTTGCCAAATTCATTGTTCAAAAATTAATCTGTCAAAAATGTGCTTCTGAAAATCGAAAAAAAATAGGTCCGCCTTCGGAAAACGTTGATTTGACTAATTATTTTTAATTTAGGAAACAAAATATAGTTATATGTTATGTTAATCATTGCTCACAGCCGAGACAATTTGATGATTTTCGTAATTTCTATTACTGCTCATTGATGAATTTATGAGAATAAAGTTATTGTAAAGGAAAAACATAATGGCAAACGAAGATTGTAAAAAAGCAAATGGAATAATAACAATATGGCGATAGCATAAACATTAATTTGTATAAGCCATTTGTGAAGAAGCTGTTTTGCTTGCATGAAATCGCTAACAAATGCAAAACATTTTAATGTGGCTTTTATGAAGATAATTTGCAGACTGAATTGTGTTTATCTGAAGCCATTTTGCTTGATCCTATACCGTTTAGTTTTATGACGGCATTAATGGTGGCAAAGTTGCCTGAAAAAAGTTAAACGTCAAAATTTGTTTATCTTTCGAAAGTTTTGTTGTGCGATCATTGCAACGATGTTCTATTCCAGCGTTGGATCAACAAGTTGCGTGACATCCTTGATAATGGCAATTGATCTATCTATTGGAAGCAGTTACTCAGGAAGTGAGTCTACGTAACTTGGAACAGGTGGAAGTTCAATCGTTCCCGAAAAGTCTTCCTTCTTCCGGATGAGTTTCCTGTCAACAGTTTCCGGCATCCCAGTTTGGCACTGATGCTATTCGAATCATCGTCCCAACGTTATTTCTGGAGAAGGCTGCCATTGACAATATGCTGTGTATTCCCATCAATGTTAAGCGTCTAATTTGACGGCTTCCAGTGCTTCGTAAACCGCCTCCACTTCGCTCCTCTCAGTCGGCTGCTCTGTTGTTGTTGACCGATTTTTTCGGAGCTGCCCTCCCAGAAAGTTCTGGAATTGGATTCCTTTTCTCTTCCGTCGACAGTATTGCTAGAATTAGTACTCGATTATCCTTTGGCATTTGCTTGTGACTCTGCATTTGCTTGTGACTCTGCATTTGAATGCCACACTCGATTATTATTTTTCTCTGTCTCTAGGCGGATTCATCTTTTTAGTTTTATTTGTAAACAGTGTGAGGTTTTGTGATACACTTCATTGACACCAAAACGCATCAATATATGCTTTTTGATCCCGTTTGACATAGTGACAACAATAAAACAAATACGAATTGATTTTCTTAACAGTTTTATAAAGGGATAGAGTGCTGCATTAAATTCATTTTTAAAACCAGACACATTCTGATTTTCTCGTCAGACATGAAAAGGTTTTTAAAACAGCATAAAGCTGAACTACTAATCAAGAATGTTTTGCACTGTTAAATGCTGTATTTAAACTAAAAAGATTGCTTATTGCCGTTATAAAACCACAATAAATCAGAGTGAAAGCCAAAAGGCTGTTAAATTGTTACTTGGGAAGAACACTAAGTTATAACCATACAAAGCGCTCGCGTAACAAGCTTAAAAAGGCAGGAAGAAGAAGTAGTAGAAAACAGAATCTCCTTCATTTTAAATTTTGTTGTAATTTTTATATTGGTTTATTTTTGGAACAAAGTTTGCTTTCCCAAATGCATTGCGTCTAGAAAATCATCTCGTGAAGGTTTTATTCAAAAATTTGCATTCTGGAACAACTTACTTGTAGGCTGCAGTACATTGCAAGAACTGCCATTGTGTCGGTAATAAACAACAACAACAAAAGAACTGCCATTACATTTGTATGAAACATATGCAGAGGATGTAGTAGCTTAATGTCTTTAAAACCCAAGTAACATTTTATGTTTTATTCAATACTAAGTCACCCATATTTAGTCTAAAAACGCCCAAATATTTAATCTGTGTTCGGCTCTGATTATATTAACCCTGAAATGTTTTGATTTTTCACAAAATTCTGATGAATTAACAGAAATCTCAACCATCTAAAGGGTGGAACGGTCAAAATTGGTCAATCATGATTAAGTGCACACTGATTATGTTATTGTATAAATGATCAAACTTTATTTCTTTTTGAAGTTCAATTACTATAAAATACAGGAAAGTTATTTGATTAGGCTTCCGAATTTCCAAATGCGAACTGTCTTAAGTTTCACACCTTCCGTCAGATTTTGTACCGCTGTTGTATCAACCTTATTTGATACTGAACGTCAATTAGCTTTGAACTGTTTATCATTTCCAACTGTTTTCTGAGTTTTCTTTACGTTCCGTTTAACGATTGCCCAATATTTTTCAGTTGCAGGAGGGTAGCGAGTCACTTTATATGTAATATATGAAAACTTCAGAAATATTTCAGGAAATTCACAGAATTCCAGGGAAGTTTAAAGGTGGTCACGAGAATTCCATTTATTTGAAGCAGAACCGAGATCTTCATTAGAATTGAGAACTTTAGGGAAGCTCCGAGACAGACAGATCACAGAAGTAAAGGGCAGTTAAAAAAAAATCAATGAAATTGCAGAAACCTTACAGAAGTTTCAAGAAAATTTCCAGGAATTTCCGGAAACTTCGGTTTGCTCAGAGAAAATTTCTGGAACGCAATAAAAATGATATGAACATCCGGAAAACGTGAGAGTATTTCAAAGCTGTTATTTCATGAAAATTCCAAGTTCTAAACAAATTCGAAAATGGAGCTAAGTTAATTAGAGAACATCAACGAAGATCCATTAATTTAAAAAAAAAGATAACTTTTAGCAAGCACCGATATTTTTAAGAAATTCCAGAGAACTTCTAATAAATTTAGATATTTTTAGATTGTTTCATTATATTCAATGAAGTTCCGAGTATTTCGAGGACGATGAGATAACATCAGAAAAATCCCATTAACTTAAGGAGTTCCTTGGAATTATGTGATGTTCCGAGAATTCTATGCTGATCTGAAAACTTTAAAAGATTCAAGGAATTATAAATATATATCAGAACATTTGATAAATTTAGGTAAGCATAGAAAACTTCAGGGCTGGACTTCCCAGGGAAAATTAGTAATTTAAGGCAAAGTTCCGTGAGCGTTTATTACTTAAGGAAAATTGTAGAACTTAAAGGCAATTCAATCAATTCAAGTAAAATGATGGATTATTTGAAAAAAAAAAAGTACTAAGATATTCAGAGCAGTATAGAGAACTTTAAGGAAATTGAGAAATATTTTGGGCAGTTTTAAAAACATCAGGAAACTCTAGACTGTTGAAGAAGTTCTGAATTAGTTTCGATCATTTAAACTTCAGACAAATTTTGAAAACTTCAGTGAATATCGTAGAACTATATTAGTTATTTCGCTACGGGAGCTTAAATAAGCTCCTTAAATTTCAGAATAACTTCAAAAACTTCACATAAGTACAGAGATCGTCATAAACAATTTGTGAACTTCATAAAAGTTTATGGAACTTAAGGGAAGATCCGAGAACTTCAGGAATGTATATGGACATTTCGGGAGCATTTCAAACAATTTAAGTAAAATTCCAAAAACAAGGCGAATTTCAGAAGAGTTCATTTCCATTAGTTTCACTAAATTAGCGGGAAATTTAAAGAAGTTTCCAGATTTTCAGAGACCTTTAGAGATGTTAATGAAATTATTGAGGTTTTCACATAAGTCCAGAGTTTGCGGAAGCTTAAAATTTTTTAGAACAGTTCAATTAAATTCAGGGTAGTACAACAAGCTTCATGAGAACTGCAAACACTTTAGAAAAGTTTCGAAAACTTCAAGAAAGATATTGATCTCGCTTATAGAGCTCTAAAAAAAAAAACTTCAAGAAAGAACAGATATCCTGCAGCAGCGAAATTTCATAAATTTTAAAAAAGTGTCGAGAAATTCAGTGAATTGTTAAAACTTCTGAGAAGATTCACGATCGTTAGGAAAATTGAGGAAACTTTGAAAAAGTTTGGAAAAGTAGAAAACATTGATGAGAAGTATGAGAAGAATGAACTTCAAGGCAGTTTCATTACCTTCAGGAATATTTTGGGAACTTTCAAGCTGTTCTGAAGACCTCAGAATAGTCCATTACATTTTTTTTTCATTTCGTTTATTTGGAAGGCTCAAATGTTATAAAAATAACTTAGCGGAGCCGAGTACATAAAATACCAATTTTGGTACTCAAAATACAAAAAAAATATATAAAAATGCATTTTATCATAGGATTTTTCTGGGTGGCGATCGAAGCGGCGACAAAGCGATCTTCTCCCGTGCACGCAACTTCTTTCTTTCCCGAATTTGTTCCTCATTTTCATTGAACCCGAATCGTGACCGCTGCTGCTGCTTCTGAACGTCGTTTCCCGTTGCATACTCTCCGCTACTCTCGTCGGTCGTCGAGGTCGTCACGTCCATTTCGTTATTTTCATTCAGCATCTCCAACCTCGTGTCCGTTTCCTGGTCGCTAATGACTAGCGACGCACCTTCCACCACTACACCAGCATACGTACTGCTGCTGTTTTGTTTTCTTTCACTTTGCTGCTTTCCTTTTTCCTTAGGTTGCTTCTCCGCTTCCTTCCCAGCCTTCCGCATGGGACAGGAAAGCTTCCGGTGTCCGTCCGCCTTGCACAGAAAACATTTATCTTTGTTGCCACCATAAAATATATTTCCTTTGCGATTGAAGAAATGTAATGACGTGGGGATTTCCTTCTTCACATCCATATATATACCGCGTATCCCTGTATATACCTCAAAACACAGATCAGATGGAAATTTCTCCCGGATGATGCGTTTAATTTTTCCATATTTCCCCAGCACTTTATCCAGCTCGTTGTCGGGTACCTCTGGTGGCAAGTCATACACACGCACATATTGAATGTATTCACCAGCATGCGACATGCGTACCTTTACCGTCGTTCCATTCGCATACTGGAAGATTAAATCCTCCGAATTGAACGTCAGAGCATGGAGCATCGCTTCCTCTGATTTGAACTTGATGAATACTCCCCTTTCCTCACCAATGCGATAAACAGCTTCCATTTCACTTCGATCCGCGTCGAGTGCTTTGGCGAAATTTACAATCTCTCCGATGTTTGGTTTAGCATCATGGTGGCTGAAGCTAAACTTGATGGTGTTTTTTACTTCACACATCTTGCACCGTAGCAACAAAAGGCACCGAACTGCTAGCAACGAACAAAGAGCAACTATATAATAGCGAGTCTCGAAAACAGGCTATCGCGTGGTTCACACCGAAATAAAAAATCGACTGCTGCTGTAGACAGCTGTGGGACAACTCAGTCCATTACATATTTAACGGAGATTTCTCATGCAAAATTCGCTTGAAGTTCTCCTAATCTAACGCTCGTATTCTTCCGAAACTCTCATGGAATTATTTCAGAAATTCACTTGGAACACTTCTCTGAATTCCCTTAATAAAAAATATAACAAGAATATAGGTAGAATACTTCTGGCAATTCCATTGACATATTGCTCAAAATTTCGTTACAAATATCCTCCCAATTCAATTTTCTTTTAATTTTCCTAGGAGTTGCCTTGCAATTCTCCGCAGTAAGAAATCTTTTGGAAAGATTCTCAGATTTTTCATTGAATTCATTTCAAATTTCTATTTTAATCTCACTCCTTCCCTTGGAATTCTACTCACATTGAAAGTCTCCTAAGAATTCATTTTCATGTCTCCTCACAAATTCCTTAGATTTCTCCCCTTAATTTGTTTGGCAATCTCTCCTGGAACTATCTTCCGAACTTCTTTGAAGATCTCTGGAGTTATTCTCAGATTTAATTGTTATCTTCCTTTAAGCATCCCCTTTACCACCTAAGTATTCACCAAAAAATTACGAGGACTTACGCTACGATTGCATTGCCTTTCACAAACTTCATGTAATTATCCTCAGAATGCCCTTGAAATTTTCCTCTGAAGTTCAGAGGAGCAGGGTTGCTTGCACTCACTTGCTATAAAAAAAAAATATTTTTCGGTAATATGCAATCATTAGATGTTATAATTATGTGTTGTACTTGTAAGTAACAAGAAGAGGGTGTAAAGTATGTGTTTGACTCATAAAACCTGTCAATTTCGCTTTCAGAGCGTCATAATCAGCGATCTTATGATTCGTGAGCGTTCACTCAGAGTGAGCGCTCACGAGTCATACAATCGCTGGGTGTGACCCTCTGAAAGCAATATTGACAGATTTTATGTGTCAAACACATACGTCATGACCTCTTCGTGTAACTTACCTCTACTAATTATCATTATACCATCTCATGATTTCATTATTCCGAAAAACATTTTTTATAGCAAGTGAGTGGAAGTAACCCTGCAGAGGAGGAGAAATTCCTATGAATTTTCAATAAAATTTACATTGAATTCAATTCCGGGTTTTCTTGAAATTCTATTCAAAACCATCTCAGGCTTCACATGAAATCTAAAATTCTTCAGAACTACCATGAAAGCAAATTGCACTTGATATTTTTTTCATAGATTTTTTCCCCGAACTCCCGTGGAATGAGGCCCTTAGAAATTATAATAAAGTTCCATGAGCCTTAAAATTGTACAAGGAATTTGACTCAGTTCAGAATTTATAAAATTTGTTGGAAACATGCATATTCTAGAACCGTAAAGGAGCTATAAAGTTCAATGTGTGAATGAAAATAACCGCATGCCGAAATGCATTATATTCTTTGGAATATCCTTAGTAAGAAAATTATAAAATTTCCTGAGTTATGATAAGATTTGCTAAGACTTCCAGGTATTTTCAGGGGAAATAAAATTCCCTGAGAATTTACGGTTTTTCAAGTTTAGTCATAAACTTCCTATTGAGACGTTCGCTTTAAAGGTTCCTAATCGTACATATTTAGGTTTTTATGAGATTCTAGTTGAATAAGTCTAAAACATCAAACATTTATTTAGGATGCCATCAGAACGGCTAATTTTCTTCCCTTAGGTCACTTTTTTACAACTATAAGTCACTATGTGGTCACTTATTTCTTCAACATAGTCACTAAAATCACTATTTTTGACAGCATTGATCGCTACCAGCCTTGAATTGGATGCATCTCCGGCGAGTTTGGAGGGTTTTTTTCATTGGGTACGACTTTTACGTTGTTGGCGGTATACCGTTCCTGGGACATTTTCCCGTAGTGACAGGAAGCAAGGTCTGGCCAAAACAGCACGGAACAACTTTTTTTCTTCAAAAGGCAAACATTTCTTTTCATAAATATCTTGGTTGACAATGTCAGTTGTCACGAAAATTTTGCTTTTCAGCCCACATGTGCAAATCGCCTGCCCAACCAAGTATTTTTTTGGGGACCTTTGACATTTTTTTTTCTGCTTAAACTTATCTTGAACATTTCCTTTCCCGGTAGCCTATAAACGCCTGTGTAAACTCTTGACCTGGGAGCTGGTTGAAATCCGCCTTGACGTACATTAAAGTTCACTATAACGCAATCAAATTTCTGACGCTATCAATCTGTGTGGGAATCTCGGTTGGAATATTTTGGATTTCGCTTATGCGCGTTCAACATTTTCCTACGCTGTACATCTTGCTTTGACGCCATTTTGACAACTGAATGGTAAATGGCAAAAACAAAATAGAAGCAACATTCCGTACGCACAGACTTACAAAATGAGGGGTGTTCATGTTTTTTTTATGTGCACGATTGAAAAAAAAATCGCCAAATTTGAGTCGACCAATTTTTGACCGTTCCACCCTTTAATGAAAGCTAATCGTTACCAAACTTAATCTGTTTCAGAAACGTCAAAATGGGCTTCCTGGGTCGCTTACTATTCGTGGGCTTTTCACTGCTACTGGCCATTGGTTACAAGCAGTACCGCGATGCAACCTCATCACTTCCGGTTCCTGCACTGAATCTCAACCAGTACTGGGGTCCCGGTGATGCAAAGCAGTATAAACAGGACACCACCATCAAACCATTCAAAGTCGCCTACCCACCAGAGGTGATTGAAAAGCTACGTTCCAAGCTGAACGATGCCCCCACGCTAGTGAAACCCCTGGAAGGAACGGCTTTCGAATACGGCTTCAACAGCAACCGGTTGCAGGACATTCTGAAATACTGGAAATCCACCTACCTGAACAAGTGGAACGAACGGGAAGCATTCCTGAACCAATTTCCACACTTCCAAACGCAAATACAAGGACTGAACATTCACTTCATTCATGTCAAACCGAACGTGCCTGCCGGCACAAAAGTCCTGCCACTGTTGCTACTACACGGATGGCCCGGATCGGTGCGTGAATTCTACGATGTCATCCCAAAGCTGACAACCAAATCGAACGACAAGGACTTTGTATTCGAAGTGATTGTTCCCAGTTTGCCTGGTTATGGATGGTCCCAGGGGGCCTCCAAACAGGGACTCAGCCCATCTAGAATTGCAGTCATCATGAGAAATCTGATGGCTCGTATTGGACATAAGAAATACTATGTACAGGGAGGCGATTGGGGCTCCCTAATAGCCAACCTAATGTCCACCCTGTTTCAGGACAACGTCACTGGTAAGATCACCTAATAACTATTTATGACAAAATTCATCAGAATAATAATTTCACTTTCACCACCAGGCGTCCACATGAACATGTGCGGAATGAATGGATTGCAGGCAATTTTGAAATCTGTGATTGCCAGCTTTGCCCCTTCACAGTTCGTCGACGAGAAGTACGTTGAGTACTACTATCCAGCTGGGCCTAAATTTAAATACCTACTCACCGAATCGGGCTACATGCACCTGCAGGCCACCAAGCCGGACACCATCGGAACGGCCCTAGTCGGCAATCCGGTGGGTCTTGCCGCTTACATTATGGAAAAGTTTTCCACCTGGACCAACCCATCCTATCGCCAACTGCCGGACGGTGGCCTCGAGAAGTACTTCACCCTGGACAGCCTGTTGGACAACATCATGATCTACTACCTGACCGATTCCATCACGACTTCGCAGCGGATCTACTCGGAAGCATTCAGCGCCGAAGAGATGGCCATAGGCATCGATCGGATTCCCACGCAGGTTCCGGCGGCTTGTGCCAAATTCAAGTACGAGCTGATGCACACCGTCGATTGGGCTCTGCGGGATCATTTCGTCAATCTGGTCCAGAGCAACCATTTCGACGATGGTGGACACTTTGCAGCCATGCAGCTACCGAATGTGCTGTATAAGGATTTCGTGGAGTTTGTGAAAAAGGTTGAACACTGAACGGGGGGTGATTTGGTTTTTTTTAGCAACTGGTAGACTGAGAGTCATTTGTGTTGGTTCATTTTTTTTTTGTATAAAAAAATAAACGATTTAAACGGTTTAGTTTTATCATTTTTTTTTTCTAGTTCAAGAGAAATAATGCGACGAAGTGTGTTGCTATGCTATGTTTAGACTCCCTTATTTACGCATAATTTTGACATCTATGGTTATGAGTGTTTAATATTCATTCTTATCTTATAATTCCATGCAATTCAAATAAATGCTATAAAATTAGCCAGCAATCAGCAAAATTCTACATGACATAAATTTATGTCGCACTCGCCGCTGGTCTTGTCTGCTTCATTGTGCGAAAATGTTCTGTCGCTTGCAGGAAACAGTTTAGAAATGTCATGACATTTTTTCCGCTTGCGAGTTTGTGTTTGTCTGTCTTCTCTGTGGTCATTGCGCTAAGTATCTTATGTTAAGGAAAAAACGTTAAACTCCAGTACTCGTGCCACCACTCAAAACGTCAAAACATTAAATTCGTTTTCAAATAATACCCCATTCCTCCCGCTCGACAGTCTACGTGGCTTATTAACAGCCCCTAAGGAATATGTAATATAAAATGGATGAAATCGGTGCCAACATAAGTGCGTAACTGCCTTTGTAAACAATGACTTAATCCAACGATTTAATGCAAAAACAAAAGCTCTTTCCTGCATATTAGCGATATCATAACTGGTAGAGGAAACGTTCGCTCACTTGCATATTATGAGCTTTTATTCGCGGAAAATAGACGGCTAAAGCTATTGTTTACCAAATCAATTTCACCCTTTTCAAATGTTGATAAGGAATATACTTTTACGAGCTTTTAAGTTTTGGTTTAATTTCTTATTTGACCAAATTTGAATGTGGACGTAATCATATTAATTTGTTCCGGATTTATTTTACGATGTTCACGTAAACTTATGTTTTATTTATAAAATATCTTGAACAAAATAAACCAAAATTGAGTTGCTGTAACTCATTTAACTATAAAGAATGTTTTTCGCAATTCAAGAGCCAAATGTGAAAAGGGCATACAAGCTTTTTGTAAACAAACCTTTGTGAGCTCTTTTCTCGTCAACCGAGGGTGGCCCACACAAACCAACAACATCATCGGGAAGGGGAAAGTTCTTCCTACCCGGTGAGGTTGCTGGTTTGCGTTGTTGTCATATAAGTGGCGAGAAAAGGGCATAAGAAGGTTTGTTTACACAAAGCTTGTATGCCCTTTTCACATGTTGTTCTTGAATTATGATTAGATGTTATCGGATGTTATGATTCTTTTTTTCTAGTATGTTACAAGAAGACGTTGAAAAGTAAGTGTTTGACACATCAACATGAGAGTCAAATTCTAGATCAACAATTGAAATAGGCGGAACAACCAAACGTTAACAATCACCCTTATTATGTATTTCGTTCGAAACGAAATTCACATACAAAAATATAATATTTTGTATAGGAATTTCGTTTCGAACGAAATACAGAATAGGGGTGAATGGCTTTAAACGCAAATTCCTCGAGAATCAAAGCACATCCATGCAACCTAACACCATCATCTGATAGAGCTAACTTCCTTTATCGAATGGCATTGTTAGTTTGCGTGGAAGTGTTTTGATTCTCGAGAATTTTGTGTTTAAAGCCATTGTTTACGTTTGGTTGATCCGCCTATTTCAATTGTTGGTCTAGAATTCACTTTCAGAGAATCACAATCAGCGATTTTATGATCCAAAAATGGAGGTTAATGAGACCACGTAGCAGAAAATGATCAAAAGCTTTTTGATCGGCTTGCTGCTTGCGGCTACCTAGAAGTATGATAAAAAATGTGATAAGTTGTCTCGATAAAAATAAAATTTAAGGATTAGGTAAATCATTTTCCGACAAAATTCTAAACACAAAAGATGAAGACAGCAAGCAGACAAGTTGAAATTAATATCGTAGAACAGACGCAGCATATGTGGAGGATCCCTGCTTGACGTGCATCTATCGCTATCAATACAAGCAGTCATGCGATAGTACCGTCTGAGTTATTTTTGTGAAACTGTTTGTGATATAAAACTACGAAATATTTAAATTTCTGAATTTTTATATACTCTCTGAGGTGAACCTTGGAGAGTTTATTCTGCACCAAATATGAACCAGAAATTAGAACTGTCTGATTAAATTACTAACTTTATTAGTACATTACATGGCCTGTAAACACTTCGTAATGTCCTTCTGCACAGAGTCGATGTTATATTAAGGCCATCGTTCGGACATTTTGAGCCGTTTGTCTGTGATTTGGGTGGTTTTCCAGGAAACGTCCCGAAAATCCTGTGAAGGAAAGCGAATATCGGGAAACAAATTCCGTCCGATTGTAGCCAAGGATTTTGTTTTCCTAGTGGGGTAAAATTTGGGTGGAAAAGTGCATTCAACTTCAAGTGGTGTGCTTTTTCCGGGAAAGTGGCATTTCCACCCAAAGAGAATATGCACGTGAGTGTATATGTGCGCGCAAGGAAATGCAATCTTGCGCCTATGTTTTCCCGGAAATTTCCCAAGAAAGTATACCATATTTTTATACCAGGACATTCTGCAGACTATGCACAACATGATGGTATACATAAACATATGATTTTCGAAAATTTGTAGCATCGTTTTTCAATTTCCAAACCATGCGCCAAACATTCTCGCTGTAAATTCGTCACGGACATAGTAAAGAAGCAATCAGCAATTACGCATTTGTTTTACCACGTTGCCATATTTTCTTGTTCGTAGGTCCACGAGTCCTTTTTCGCTAGTTCGCTCATCATATCAAATTGATCAGGAATTCTTCCGAATGTCAAAAATTATATCGAAGACCTACGACGGATCCGAAATTGAAATTGAGATCTCCATATATTCTTTCATCATATCAAACTGAACAGGAGTTCTTCAAAATCTTATCTTATCTATCGAAGACCTACGACTTATCGGGAATTGAAATCGAATCCTGCATATTCCCTCATCACATCAAATTGATCATTAATTCTTCCGAATAATCCGAAATTATATATAAAACGTATGACTAATCGGAAATTGAAAATGAGTTCTCCATATATTCCACCAACACATCAAATTGATCAGAAATCCTTTTGTAGACATTCGGGCAGTTAGAATATATTTCAAAATACAAGGATGGTCAAAAATTCTTCCAAACTATCAGAAGTTATATGGAAACCCTTCGATTGATTGAAAATTGAAATCAAATTCTCCATTAATTCCTTGATCATATCATATTGGAATTATCAGGAATTATTCCGAATAATAAGAAATTATATCGGAAAATGAAATCGAGTTCTCCATATGTTCCCTCATCACATCAAATTGATCAGAATTTTTTTCCAAATTATCAGAATTAATATCGAACACGTATGACTAATTGGAAATTGAAATTGAGTTCTCCATATATTCCATCAACATATCAAATTAATCAGAAATCCTTCTGAAGATCTTCGGGCAGTTCGAATGTATTTCAAAATACAAGGATGATCAGGAATTATTTCGAAATTTCACCGAATTATCAGAAGTTATATGGAAACCCTATGACTGATTGGAAATTGAAATCGATTTCACCATAATGTGTACCCTATGTACCATATCAAAGTGTTCAGAAATTCTTCCGGATTATCAGAAATTATATTGAAGGTCTTCGACTAATAGAACAATTGCAACCAAGTTTCCATATATATCTCAATCAAATCAGGTTGATCAGGAATTCTTTCGAATTATCAGAAATTATAAAAAAAACTTCCTGATCAGAAATTGAAATCGAGTTGTCCTTATGCCCTTACTATATCAAATTGATCAGGAATTCTTTCGTGTGACCAAAAATTGTATCGAATACCTACGAATGGTGGGAAATTGAAATCGAGTTTTATCAGGACATCTTCCGAATTATCAGAAATTATATCGAAGACCTACGACTGATCGGAAATTGAAATCGAATGATCCATATACACCCTAGCAAAGTGATAATGAATTCTTCCGAATTATCAGAAATCATATTCAGGGCCTTCGACTTATAGAAGAATTGTCATCGATTTTTCTATATAGGTATATCTTTATCATATCAGGTTGATCGGCTATACTTCCGAATTATCAGAAATTATATCGAACACATACGGCAAATTGGAAATTAAAATTGAGTTCCCCAAATATTCCCTCATCATATCAGATTTATAAGGAATTCTTCCGAATCAGCAGAAATTATAAAAAAGACCAATTACTGATCGGAAATTGAATTCGAGGTCTTTGTATATTTCCTCATCATATCAAAGTGATCAGGAATTCTTCCGAATTATCAGATATTAAATCGAAAATCTACGACTGATCGGAAATTGAAATCAATTCTCCGTACATTCATCACATCAAATTGATCAGGAATTCTCCCGAATTATCAGAAATTATACCTAACACGTATGACTAATCGGAAATTGAAATTGAGTTCTCCATATATTCCATCAATATATCAAATTGATCAGAAATCCTTCTGAAGACATTCGGGCAGTTAGACTGATTTTAAAAATACAAGGATGGTCAGGAATTATTTTGAAATTCTTCCAAATTATCAGAGGTTATATGGAATCCCTACGACTGATTGGAAATTGAAATCGCATTCTCCATTAGCTCAGTCGGTAAAGGCGCAGCTACAAAGCAAGACCATGCTGGAGGTGACTGGGTTCAATTCCCGGTCCGGTCTAGGAATTTTTCGGGTTGGAAAATTTCTCGACTCCCTGGGCATAGAGTATGATTGTACTTGCCACACAATTATACTAATGCAAAAATGGTAGCAGGCATCGAAAGCTCTCAGGTAATAACTGTGGAAGTGCATCTAGAACACTAAGTTGAGAGCACGCAATAAGCTAATATGCCATAAGCAATAAGCTTGAAATGAATAAATAAGAAGAAGAAGATTCTCCATTAATTCCCTCATCATATCATATTGATCAGAATTGTTTACGAATTATCAGAAATTGCCACTGATTGGAAATTGAAATCGAGTTCTCCATATATTCCATAATCACATCA